GAATGGTAATTATTTTTAATGATTCGCGGAAACCATGGATCATTTCCGCATGTTTTGCTGCTTTGAATTTAATAATCTCGCGCATGCTCTCTACGATCTCCAAGGAACTCAGAGCGGAGCGGACGGGAGCCTCAGTGGAGGCTGTAGGCTTTGGTTTGTGCAGGCGGTCTGGAGCGCAGCGGGGTGGAGCGCTGACGGAGTATGTGGGATTTCGGGGTTAGCATGACATGTTGGTCATGTTGCTGTTAGCATAAACAAAACGTGTTGCACAATGCTTGCACACTGTTGCACTTTTATCCACAACTTTCTTTCCGCCGTCATCGTAGGTCACTCTAAATGCAAAGTGGTCCCATACAGCAGACCTATAAAGTGCTGCTGGCGCGTCTTCCAACTCCTGTTCTTTCTGATTTTTTTCTGCTACACCCGGCTACGCTGCTTCGCTTCTTCTTCTTGTTTACTACTGGTGGTTGGCTTTGGTCGCAGTACCGCCACCTTCTGCTCTGGAGTGTAATCGCTTCGCCTATGAGAAAATGGAGCAGCGCATGAACCGAACGCAACACACGCAAACCGAACCGAGACAGTCGAACCGAACGGTTCGGACAGTTTTCAAAAACCGTTCCATCCCTAATATGTATGTATGTATGTTTGTTGTAATGTGACAAGATTTGGGGAAGTTTAGGGGTATGAATACCTTTGAAAGCAACTGTAGATGATCAATAGTGTTTAGGCCCTGTGGGCATGCTGACCTGTCAAGGCCAGTATTACCATATTTATCTAAGCAGGTGATGGAAATTATAATCATTACCTATATATATTTTATCAATGGAAGGAAGCATGAAGTTTTCCATAATTTCCTCGTAGACAATTCTGCCTAACTTCAGACTTGATAAAACACCTTGGTTGAATATCTGTGGATGGCAGCAGATCCCCTAAAGTTGTCACTGGAAACTTTACACCTGAGGTTCCTTTCTTGGAAGTTGCATTTGGATGCCCAAATATAGTATTTTAGTGATGGGCTGATCTGTAGAAAACATTATTCCAGAGGAATGGGCTTTTCTACAGCTTCCTTCTAGGAAACTTAATTCTGCCATCTTGTTTTTCATTATAGAGCAAAGGTTTAGTTCCAGCACACCCCCTGAATGTTAAACCTGGACAATCTTTGTTTCTGTAGAGAGATTTATTTTCATATCAACAGGAGCAAGAGTCTGCTGTAGGTACTAAAACATTTTGTATCGTTTATAGACTTCATTTAGTGACATTCTGCTGATTCTGTCCCTTAGTAGACTAATTAGGCGTCATGGTTTACTTTTTAAAGGTTTCCACCCTTAGGATGATGACTTTTTAGATTGAATGTCAGTTTTTGTGATCTTGAAGTTTAAGACTGATCCAAACTGAGGAATGTACCATTCATGGTCTAGGTTCTGGATATAAAGCTTTGATTCTGGTCATAGAATGTGAATTGTAAAATTTCCCCAAACTCTTGAGTGGTTTGGCTTCACAATCCTCTCATTTTGTACCTCCCTGCAAACCCTATACATTTTTCTTTTCACTCCATTTGTTTCTTCAAACCGGTTCTGTATAGTTTTTTTTTTCTTCCACTAAACTTTGATTAATATGCTGTGCATACAGCCCTCAGTGACAGCCAGGTTATTCTGTAAATGATAAACTGCCTTACGTAATCCTTTTCTAGTCTGACTAGGCTAAGCTGCTCAAAGCTTTCACACTTAATGAGTCACATTCACTCATCTGCATGGATTAATGCTCACACATTCATACGCTTGTATGATATGGTTGGCCACTTGTGGTTAACATATCGCTCAAGGATACTTTGATGCAATGTCAGAAAATCAATACCCTAACCCTCAGTCATCTTCTCCTATCAGTAGCCTTTTTACATAACTGTGTGGATTACTTTAAAATAAAGTTTCTATTTCAAAATCTTATGCTTTGGTATTCATGTACTGTTAGAAATGTCCATAAATTTGCTCCAAATGCAAATATTGTCACAATGCTAATGAATTAAATAAGAAATATACCAGTAGTACCGGTAATAGTATAAAAATATTGTAACATTTACTAGCAGTAATATTCTGATTTTATTTTTAGATTAATGCAGCTGCATAATAATTTTTTTCCGATAGTAATAAGTTTTAGATTTTACATCACCTGTTTGTTTTTGCACATTAACATTTGAACATCTGATAGTACATCAATATTTGAATAAAAAAAATAAACAATACAGGTCCAAGAATAGAGCCCTGTGGCATTTCTGCAGCATAAGAAAATTTAAACCCACCGATTAAAGAAAATGTGATCCGTTTTCTTTATTAGTTTCCAAATGTTAGCTTCTTAAGGAAAATCTACGTATCAGTTTCGATATCAGAAAGTTATTACCAGTGTTGGTCATTAGTCTCATCTATTTTCCTTTTCTTGGACCAGCTTTCTGTTTTTTCTTTTTTGTTATTTTGCACCCTCTTTAGTTTATCCCCTCTGCAGCCTTAAAGCCAATTTGCATTTTGCAGGCATTTCTATAAGCAGAGTACAAACAGCCTGCTAGTCAAATTCACCCCACCGTAGTGCTTTGCCTGTGGTATCTGTTTGAGTTGAATTCAGCTAATGTAACCTGTTCTCACACCTGCACTAATAAGCACAAACGGACACAAACATGAGGTATCTGTTGGTTAACTACTCCAATCCTGTGGAAAATGTTTGCAGTCACCTTATTAAATCTTAATGAGTAGGTGAATAATTAAAAATAAAGCTGCGTAATGTCACCTGGAGTTGTTTTTTTTTTTTTTTTTTTTTTATATATATATATATATATATATATAATTTTTGACAGAAAAAGTAAAGCAGTGATGTCTTAATTCTGAATTCTGCTAGGTGCAAGTCATTGTAGGGTGGAAGTGGTTTAAATCTGCACTGTGCAATGCTGTTTGGTTGGATTTCAGCTTTTATATGAGGCTAAACCGCACTGTCGTGGCTCTAGAGAGGATGGGCTGTCATTGATCTGCCCTGTTTGACTCTACTGGGGTTTCAGGATTGGAATCTTAGTTTGTAGGGTTGTAGTTTATCTACATCTGACCCAGGCTGGAACGAAGTCTCACATGTGTTTCAAATGCTTAGTCAGCTCTGGTTCTAATGCTTAAACCAGTTATTACAGTTAGATCACAAAGCTATTTTAAAGTCTTGCTGTTTAGCTACACATTTTGTATGCAATTGATTAATTTCTCAGTTTCTAATAATAAAAAAAAATCATGTGAAAAAGATAAGCAGCCCCCGTTAAATATTCAGGCCTTTCTTAGGAAAGGCAAAGTATTCCATGTCTAATCTCATATCTTTTAATGTCAGAAAGATAAATAGCTCTAATTTTAGCTCCCTGCATGTCAGGCCTGTTTGAAGTTACTCCCTCTGCATCTCTTTGACATTAACACCCAGGGGTTTCCATTTGGTAATTATCAGCCAGTTCTTGGTTGATTTACTGGCATTATGCCCCGCTCCGCTTCCTTTTGGACATCTACTACCCCAATCCCACCATAAAGCCCTACAGATTCCAGATGACCTGCACCCACCTGCCTTGTCCCCTGTGCAGTCCACTTCGATCCAGAAGGTGGCTGAGAAGCCATCCTGCCAGAACCAGCAGGCTAAAGGTCGGCTGTCTTCTTCTGGCTATAAGGAAGCTCCACTCTGCTTTATGCCTCCTAAATAAACTCTGGACCTCCACCCACGTGCCTCCCTCTCAACTAATAGGATCCTGTGATCTGCAGGTGTCTGCAGGCTTTTATCTATGAAAGAGCTGCTCCTTAAGAAAATGTAAGGATTTTATTGCCTGATTGTAAGTTAGATGTTGGTTGTTACACTCTGGGTCCAAGAGGATCAAGATTTCAGTTTGGCTTATACAACAAATTTACATTAAACTTTGCTTTGATCCCTGAAACATTGACGCTTCCACCTCCGTGCATTATAGTTGGAATGAAGGACTGCAAAACAAAACATGTCAAGTATTAAGAAAAAAAAAATGACCATACTTAAACATGGCATCTAAAACATGATTCAGAAAACGGCGCCAAAGAATGGGGGGAGACGATTGCACCGATGTGACAATGGCCGATATCAATATATGATAATACACTTCCTATTTCTGATGTCACCAATGCTTTTTATATTTGTATACACCATTTTGAGATGGTGAAAAAGCAAACCCAGCTAAATATATTAGGCTCAAGGAGGGCAATAATGCTTCAAAATGCAGATATGAAGCGTGATGTTTCTTTTATTTGATGTAGTTTCTTTTCTGTTTTGCTGTATTTCTACTGGTTATGTTGTGAACGCCTGCCTGACTTTTTATGAGAAAATTTCACAAACATCAGTGTCAACCATAAAGTTGATGTGCTGTCGGCAGAGTCCTGGAGGACGCCCTGAAGCAAAATTGTGCCTTTTAGATGGAAGTTCCTCACTATATTAGGTCACTGTTTTTACTGCTTTTTTTTTTTTTTTTTTTTTTTTTTTTTTTTTTTTTTTTTTTTTTTTTTTTTTTTTAGCGCCTACATCTTCAGCACTTTGATTCGATCTGGTTCTCCTGTAACTGGTTGGTTCAAATTTGCCAACCCTTCCATTTGGACAAACCTTTGAAACTTTTAGGGTAGAATGCATTTTAAAATCTTTGGTTCGAACAAACAGCAGATTTGAGTGTGAAGAGTGTGTTTTTTAGTTGTTCGCTTCATTGACAGAGCAGGAGAAAAACCCACCAGATTCAGAGCTTTCCGCTGTTTGGAGCTTCTAATGGGGGAAGTTTCCTGTCTCAGATCTAATGTCATTGGGTTTAATTATGATGCCAAGACTGATAAGACTCCATTTAGGGTAAATTATGCTCAAGCAAAAAGATATTTATAGAAAAACATGTAAAGAGTGTTTTATAAAATGTAAAGCTCATATTCTTTTTCGTATTGTAATGAAGCCCTAGTTGATAATTGCATTTTTTCCCCCCCTTTTCTCCTTAGTGTGCTGTTTTGTGGTCCATAAGCGCTGTCATGAGTTTGTCACTTTTTCCTGCCCGGGGGCTGACAAGGGACCTGCGTCTGACGTAAGTAATGAAAGTTTAGAGAAACACGCACTCCTTGTAAATGTTTATTTCTTTGTTAATTGCCCTTGAAGTCAACGTAAACAAATGACTCATTTTGCAGTAGTGGTTTTTATTGTGATATTAGAAGAAATGCTCAATGCTGCAAGGACAAAGTTATGTTATTTTTAAAGCAAAAGAAAATTAACAAACTCGTTCAGATCATTTTTATTCAGTGCGTTATATAAAACAAGCACATCATGTGGAAAGTAGCCCATCTCCTTAAAGATTTTCATATTTTGTCAATAACATTTAGTTGACTAACATTTTGTGTGATGTTTCATCAAAGAACAAGGCGTTACAAGGCTGGGGGGAAAAAAAAAGCTTTAGGTTTTCCTTAGATGAATAACTTGAAAACAGGAAATGCTTTTGTATTGAACCTCCTTCGCTCTTTTGCCCTTAACATAAAATCTATTTAAATATAGAGGTACTAACTCTAGAGGATCTGCAGAGATCCACAGCTCAGGTGGGGGGATCTATTTACAGGACAATCATAATCTCTACATATCTGTTCTTTTCGATAAAAGAGTGGCAGGGATTGACATTAACACCTTCCAACCGCACCAGATGGAGGTGAATTTCAGCTGTGGCAGGAAGCACAGCCACTCAGCCACACTAACCACCTTGAATGGCTGGATTCTATAAAGATTTTCCATAGTAGTTTTCTCAAATAGCGTCTAAAATATTAAACAAATTAATTCCAGATACTACAGCACAACAGCTCCCATGAGCACAGACTTTTCACAGTGTTTACTCATTGGTCGGTTGATGAATGGTGTCACTTTAGACAGGCGATCCCTGTGGAGAACAGCTTGTAAAGTGGTGGGGGCAATAATGCCGTGGTGCATTCAAGGAGTCGGAAAGAAAATCTGACAATGGAACGAATGATAGAGGAGACAAAGAAAAATTTTCCACTGTTTAACGCGAAGTGGAAACATCAGGTGAGGAAGGATTGTTCTCTGAACCTGAAGAGAGTGTCATGCACTGCACTGACTATTTCGCCAAATTTTCTACATTTTTATTCTCATGCAGGTTTATTTTTTCTTTGTTCTCTTCTGTGTCAGTATGCACTGTAGATGAATATTAAAACTCATGTTATTAGTTTTCTTCCAGTTTACATTTTATCTTTTAACTTGTCTATTTTCCTGCACCACTTTTAGGATTCAGTAAGAAATCTCAGTTTTTTTTTTGTTTTTTTTTTTACTTTGTTCACTGTATATTTCATATAAAAGGAGCTTCACACAGATCCTTATCGTACCCGGATAATTATTAAACATTTTATGTAGAATGTGTACAAGGGTCATTTACTTTTAAAAAGTTGTAAATCTAGTTCAACTACACTTCAGCATGGCAGCTTTAATCATATTAAATGGAAATTCTAACAATAAACTTGTGGCTGGTAACTGAAAAAATACTTGCACTGTTAACTGGTCTTCAAAAATAATTCATGTCAAGCCCTGATTTCAGTAAAATATAAAACCACAGGAAGTCCGGTTAGTAGTTTACCATAAGTCACACAAGGGACATTTGATGTCACTGGTGAAATCAAAGCCTTGCATATTGCCAGATCCTCATTGTGAAGCGTGGTGGCAGCAACATTCTGAATATTTCTGGTTAAAATGGCTTAAATGATGTTTGAATAAAAAAAGGCCACCATTAAAGGTCCCATATTATGCAAAATTCACTTTATTAAAAAAATCCAAAAGTAATATTTGTCTATTTCCCTTCTCTCACTGCCTTGTTCTACCTCCTAGTTAATGTGTGCTCACAATGTTCTGTTTAAAAAAGCATACCCTTTATTTTTTTTTACGTATTTTCTTTATTTTTAACAGTGTCCTGTCTGGCAGTGTGGCAATAAGAATAATTGTGTTGATGCCAAAAAGAGCCCAACAGATTTTACTTTCACAAGTGTAGCAATAGGGCTATCCCATAGTGTTCAGCTTGATTTATGTATATAAATTGCTTTATTATAATTATGCAGGGAGTTTTACAGATTATATGGACACTGCAATGTAAGTAGAATAAGAAAGGAAAAGGAGAAAAGATGAAAGAAAGAGGAGATAAAAGGGAGGTAACGATAAAAAGCACACCCTTTATGAGGTCATTTGGGGAAACAACTCCACCCCCTCTCCCTAAGCACCCATCTAGCAGGCACCATCTCTCTGCTCATTGACACAGGCTGTCTGAACGTCCACCCTAAACCCTAAATCCCTCACTCACTATATAGAGCAGGGACCATATAGTGGACTTTATAGAGAACTCAGTTTTGTTTTTCTTATGTGTTGCCATCTCTTACAAGCTGCTCAGATCAGTCTCCAGCAGCCCATCGGTCAAGCTTCCCCTTTATCTTTAGTATCGTTCCACGCTCTAAACACCCATCTTTACAAAGTCTGACTGGTTGTCATGGTTGTGGGTTGTAAGGGGGGGTTTTGTGGGCGTGGCATCGAAGGGCTTGTTTAGAAGAAGGCTGAATGAGATTTTTGGGTCATGTGAGAGGAAGTTTCCTGCACAGACAGCAAAAACATGCTCCGAGGGTCGTATTGTTAATATTTTTAATTTTTAAATGTAGAATAATTTGAGACCTTTAAATAAAATCTATTATTGGCACCAAATGCCTTGCGACTGGAACAGATTTCCACCATCCAAACGATGGACAAATAGAAAGATAGACGAATAGATGGCTAGCCAGCCCTAGACTGAAATCAGGGGTGTCCCATCCCCTGTCCTCCAGGACTAGTTACAGCTTGTGTCCTGTTTGTTTTAGTCTATGTGCGGATCTGTATGGCTGCATTGCCTCCTCACTATGTCATAAAGCTAACATTCATAAATTTATAGGGGTGTGTGTAACCGGAACGTTTGTAAAACATGCAGGACCGACATTAAGTACAGCTGGTAAAGATTAAACAATCTTCGAGTGCAGGCTTAAATGCAACTGTCGGTGGGGGTTGAACAAAACGGCATGCATCACCTCTGAGATGGAGATAGAAACATATATATATACATATGTATATGTTTTATTTTTTTAAAGAATTTGGTTAATCATCTTCACTACTTCTCTGCCTTTGCATGCATTAATACAGTCTGGAGTTTGGACTCTTGTCACGTCCAAATCCTATTAAGAAATGTCCATAAAGTGGGAATGTGTTGCCTGGCTGCTTGGGGTAATGACCCAGTAGTAGGTCTCTCTCCCATTTCTCTTTTCTTTTAGAAGGCATTCCTGCAGTGATACTCTGATTTTTATGAGTCTCAAATCCTCACGTCTGCAGTCAATGTTCACTAATATCAAGTCGGTTGAAACACCCAGTGTGGAAGCAATGTTAAAAGCATTGGTGCAACTAAATCAAAGAAGCCCTTTGACCATTTTTTTCCCCCCTCAGCCATTTTACATCAGCATGCAATCTCATTCTAACCCTGCAGGAAGTATCCTTGTAAAGATTTGTTTGGTTTTTGTTTTTTTTTCATGTTAAGATTGCCCTGCAGGGAAATCCTTATTCCATGGAAAGAAAAACGAGCCACGACGGCTTCCACTGGCAGATACTTCTAATGCTTTAACGGCTGAACAGGAGCCAATTCCCACAACTTTTATTTTTTCCTCCTTTAATTACATAATTGTGATCTCAGAGCAGTGGCAGTAGAGAAATAAAATATGTCATATAGATTTATGCTGTATTTCTCTGGATATATGCTGTGTTTGGGCATTTGTAATAATATTTATGGGAATCCAAACAGGGAACAAAAATGCTTACCTGATTCTTTTTTCCAAGATGGCAGAGAAAAAAGTTTTGGGGAAAACTCTGCAGCCTATAGTCTCAAACTAAGAATTGAATGTTTTAATGCTGTTCTCACACGTGCTCATAAAACCTCCTGTGTTTAACAGTTTCGTCTCTCCTTCGTGTTTTTCCAGGATCCCCGTAGTAAACACAAGTTTCGAGTCCACACCTACTCCAGCCCCACCTTCTGTGACCACTGTGGCTCCCTCCTGTATGGGCTGATACACCAGGGCATGAAATGCGACCGTATGTATATAACATATTTGGATGTGCTTGTTTGCCTTGAAACTGTGGCCTGAATACAGAGCGCTGTTTGTGAAGGCCACAAAGTGAAACTGAACCACTGATCTTCCTCTGGGATGTTTCACACTCTGTGGTTCTCCTTCATTTTTTTTGCAACTGTTTTTCTCCCTCTGCTCGCTGCTTTTCTGCTCTGGATTCTTGACCCAAACTCACAGATCCGGTTAAGCAGATGGGAGCAATTTGTCCCTTTTTCTCCATCTGGGCGAAGTGGTTCTTACTTTAAACCCCATTTTAATAGATGCATTTTTTAAGGAAACAGAGAAAAATGCTTTTCCTTTTTTAAAACTGTTATGTCGCTTTATAGATATTTCCCTCACCTGACGTGACTAAGCATTTCTTGAGCCATTATAGAAATTCCCTTAAACCAACTTAAAGCAATAGCTTGTGTATACCATTAAAGCTGTAGAGGAGATTGCATAGCTTTAGCTCTCATCCCTGCTCCTCTTGTCTTTCCCTCCCAAATGACCTGAAAGCCACACCTCCTAGACTTGGACACATGTGAAAGGCAAGTAGTTTTCCTATCTAGAGCATAATTGTTTAGCAACAGAACAACGTAGTACATGGTTAAAGACTGTACTTGTCACCTATCCTGCATTGCATACAATGTTATATGCATCTTCAACATTCAGCCTAAAATTGCAGCTATAGACTGACCTTACATGTACTGCAGGTCATTTAAGCTGGTGCTATAAATGCAGCATTTTGCAATTATCTACAGCATTACTCAGGTTATTCAAAAACTATTTTTATAACTTGCTAAAATGCAATTAATAATTCAGTGTTAACCAGTTCGGAAGACAAATTATCCACTTTTTATCGGTTTTGAGCCTCCATAATTTAAAAGCATCTTCAGTTTCAATTCTTATAGATTTGTTTAAATGTCTCGAAGCAAGTAACTAATCTTTAATTGAAAAGCATAAATTAGTGGAAGTATAACTTCAGTCGTTGTTTTGATCTCTCCAATGCTCTTCATTGGTCTCATTTCTTACAAGGACTTGTTTAGCTGTAGACACCATAGAAAGGGATTCCAATAAACAGATAATTGTGATAGAGTAGCTACTTTACATCAAAGCACGGGGTCATTGAGTCAAATTTGAACATTTCATATTTTAGGAAAGTTATTTTCAGATTATTTTATGTCACCTCTGAATGTAACTGAAGTACTTTGGTATGATGTCATGTCTGTTGACCCCTTCGTCAATAACTAGGTTTCCTAGTCTTTTCCTAGTTAGACCTGATTGAAATCCATTCCGACATCATCTCTAACCTAAGCCACTAGATATATTGGATGACAGTTGGCGATTGTGTGCAGTTGCAGTCAGAAAGCACTGTTTGATAACAATAGATGGCGAGCTGTAATATTTCAGTGACCTTACTGTAACACTCTGCTCTCCACTAATTCATATGCTTGGACCCATCACACCTTCAACAAATTACACTGACTGAGATGCTGAGATGGGAATGTGGCTTAATTGAACATGACATTGCAACATTTACCAATAGGACGTCTGAAGGTTTTTATTCATTCAGATTTTGACCTTCCACCATGTGCTTCTTAATAGTCTATAAGGTATTTTTGATGATATAGAAGGTGGACCTATACCTGTATGAACACCTGCTCACAGGCTGGTTTCTATAGGTGTGGCCCACTTTTTGCTGATACAGTCAGGAAGTGCATTTTCTAAAGAGCTGTATTTAACCATGACCATTATTAGTAATATTTCCTCATTGCTTTCAGGATGCTCTGTGTAATGACTGGACGTGCTATTAAAGGCACTATACCATCTTCTTTTACACATTTTATAACAGGTTCAGCTTTATAGGGGTCAATATAAATGTAAAGTATCCACATAGAAACCGTGGCTACATCCATTATTGTCTGGAATGTGTTAATAAGGACCCAATTGAAAAATAAATCTTCGTGTTCTGGTTCAGCTTTAAGATTTAGCTTTCCTTTACATAAAAAATATTGAAACAATTAGAAAGACCAATAATTTATTGTTCCTTTCACATGACCTTTTTTGAATGAGGTGACCTCTTCAGGTCCTCACAGTGATGTACATTTAGACCTCCCTTTGGTGCAAAACTAAATGGGTTAGTTTTGCTAAGTGGGATACGATGCTGGGGGCCTGAATGAATGATGTTTTTTGTTCTTTCTGTCAGAGATATGAGATTTTATTTAACCTCGGAACCCAGGGGAAGAGATCTACATCTCTGCAGAGCAGCTCCCCATCCACTGATGGGAGATTGGGGCTCTGTGATTGGCCTGGAAGCTCAGAATGGTCCGCCATCTAGTGGACAGACGGAGTATAGCTGCAGGCTCCACGTTTATCTGGACATATATAGTATTTTTTTTTCTTTTGCAGTTTGTAATGCTCTGTTCAATTTAACCAATAACCTTTTTTTTTAAGATAAAATGCGTTTTGTTTTGTATCAGTACAATTTACAGATATGATTTTAGTTTTTTAATCCACTCTTTTATAATATGCTAAGAAACATCGGCCTTGAAGAATAATGCTTGTGCTTATTAGTTTTGACAGTGAGTGACTTTTTTTTCCTACTTACTTGCAAATATGTGTGTCTTTCAAAGACCCCTTCCATACTATGCATTAAAGATGTGTCTCATGTGTAGGGTGAGCTAACAGAGCAATAGATGATGTTGTCCAAGATCTGCATCAAACCTAAACTGAATCTGGACGTTATTCCTGCACATTTGTCTTGATTATTTCATTTATTTTTTTACATATTTGGAGTTAAATAGGACTGTACAGTATTAGAAGATCTAAGATTTTCATCCATCTTCTCTCTCATCCCTGCTTCCCTCCCTCTGTGACAATTAAGTTTGGGCGAAGTCATGAGTGCTGGGTCTGAGCATCTGCTGCTGTGAGACTTTGTCCAACTAGCTATATATTCCCTTAGCACACGTTTGTAAAGTAAAAAAAAGATTTTCCAAATCAGTGCCTACAATCATCTAGATTTGATCAGGATCTATGTCTGTTTAATCCAGCTGAAGTTACATGATGCGTTTCCCCAGTAATCCTAGAGAAGGAATTGCTGCTGTCATTCTCTCTAAGGAGGTGAAATTAAAGTCTGCATACCTAGAAATATGTTATTTATTGTAGAAAAGGCTTTCCTTTGTAAGCAATCTAATTATGAGGGGTCGTGTTTAAGTCTTTTTTCCTTTATACTGTAAGACAGGATCTAACTTCTTATAACAAAAGGCTTCATTTGTGCTTCTTTCTTTAACTGGACCAAACCCAATAAAATAAATCCTACTGTATCAAAGTTCAAAATGATCCATGAAGGAACAAATTAGTTCATTTGAAGTTATTTTTTGGGTGCAACAAAATAAAGTCTAAATGTCCTTTTCTGGTCATTTATTAGCTAGAGAGGTGATAATCTTAAGGAAATTAGATACTTATCTGTGTGTCTTTTTTTTTTGTTTCGCAGACTGTATGATGAACATCCACAAGCGATGTGTCGCCAACGTCCCGAGCCTGTGTGGAACAGATCACACGGAAAGGAGAGGACGCATCTACATCTCCGCCCAGATTACAGACAACTCTCTCGCCGTCACCAGTGAGTGCTCCCTGTCCATTCATCTCTTAGTGTTGGCTTTGACAAACTCACACACGCACTCTCCAAGCAAAACGCTCCATCAGACTAAGACTGAAACTGGAAAGTCCATTTAGTGGTTCAATTATCCAACGATTGACCCACATCTGCAGCGGGATGTGCAGCCACGTGCTGGCTTCCTCTGCCAGAACGCTGTGGATTGATTATGGAAGTGAAACTAAACAGGTGTTAAATGTTACCAGATTTGGACTTATTCAGAGCAGAAATGAAATGTCGTCTTTTTCCATTTAACCTTTTTTTCTCTCCTTAACCCTCGTCAGTCAAAGAGGCCAGGAACCTGGTACCTATGGACCCAAACGGCCTCTCAGACCCATATGTTAAACTCAAGCTCATCCCAGACCCCAAGAGTGAGAGCAAGCAGAAGACCAAGACCATAAAATGTTGCCTCAACCCCACCTGGAATGAATCCTTTGTTTTGTGAGAATTTTTTTCTTCTTTTTTTCCTCTTTGTTCAGTCATTTCAAATCAACTTGCTCCTTTTCTGACTTTATTTGGAAAAAGAAAAAGTTGGCCTTATTTCAAGTTACATAATCACAAAGTTCACCCTTGAAAGAAGGCCTGTCCTATTTTCTGTAGGGTTTGTTTTTTTCTGGGTCACTATGCCCTCAAAGTTTCATTTAGTTGTGGGTAACATATAGAGAAGCCCTGTCCTTTGGTTTCTAAAGTAAAGTCCCACTTTCTGCTGTCATCTTCTAGTAAACTCAAAGAAACAGACAAGGACCGCCGTCTCTCAGTGGAGGTGTGGGACTGGGATTTGACCAGCCGGAACGACTTCATGGGTTCGCTGTCCTTCGGCATCTCAGAGCTACAGAAACAAGGAGTCGATGGATGGTGAGGATAGTCTAGGCATTCCAAAAGTATTCACACCCCTTTTAACTTTCCACTTTCCTTTCTCATCACAAATGCAGATATGTGCATATTATTGGGATTACATGTTTTAGACCAACAAAAAGTAGCTTCTAGGTGTAAATGAGGACATATGTTTTTATAATATATTTACTTAGGAAACTTTGTAGCCAGCCCATAAAATGTGAAACCCCTTAATTAAATGTGCTGGAACCTCATCCCTTTAGAATATACCTGATGTGTGTTAATACATGTAATTTAGTCTCATAAATCCAGCTGCTCAGAGGTATGCCTGATGTTGGTGATCAGTTCAATTCAGTTCAGTTTATTTATATAGCACCAATTCACAACACAAGTCATCTCAAGGCACTTTAAAGTCCAACCAGGTCATATAGTCAAATTGATTCAAATTGATCAAACAGCATCTTATAGACCAGGAATGGCCAAACTCTTGGTACATGGGCCAAAGCCATAAACTCAAATGCATTTTTGCATCAAAGTATACTGAAAAGAATAAATAACCAAAATATATTTACATTTTTGCCAGCCTAACAGTAAAATAAGTGTTTGATAAAAAATAATTGCCTGTTTTTTTCCCCAAAGTGTTGAATAAAAGGCATTCAATTTATATGCGGGCTCAAATGAAAAAGAAACATGAGAACAGGATTTGGGTCAGTCCTTGGTTGCCCATTTGTAATATCTAGAAAAAGTTTAACAAAATGAAAATGCTGCAGATTTGGTAGAACCAAAATCTGATTTAAGTGAAGTCATTGGATAGATGAGCTCCTATTTAGTTTGAAAAAAAAATAAAATAAAATAAAAGAGTGTGCTTATTTACAGAAGGATATTGTGTTATACTTAAAAATGTCCCCTTTGGGATTCTGTAGTGATCTTACCCTAATTGAAAATGAAACATGTCTGTCTGCACCAACCACTTGTGCGTATCAAACTCAGTCCAGGGGTTTACATCAGCCAAAGAACAAACAGTTCTAGAATAAAGATATGAAGGCTTGTGTTGTTGAGTCAGGCTTTATGATTTTTGTTTTACTAAGAAAAGGCTGTCTACCTGTTCTGACAGCCCAGATAAATAAGTAAATTCTATGGGTTTTTTTCAAACATGGCTCGACCCGCTAACATTCGGCATTTGGCTCCCTTCCCACCTGCAAAAAAAGCTGTGTCTAACCCCTCGCTGGTAGGCCCATCACTGGGTTAGCCTTGATACTTTAGCAGTGTGACAGAGATCAAGAAAGCAAACAATGGAGCCAAGCACTAAAACAGGTCCTAAACTATCATCTATAACTGTAGATGTTGATGGCAGCTGGATAGCTGATATTTCTTTCATGGTCGTTGTCACAGCCATGCAAAAACAGACCCGATGAAGCTACTATAAGGAGAAAAAACAGAGAGGACAAAAAGTTAGAGGTTGAACTAACAAATACTTTAGAATGGGAGAATAGAGATAGAATAAAGCACAATGATGAAAAGGGTTCCCTATGTCTTCCAGCAGTCTAAGCTTATAGCAGCATTACTATAGAGATAGCTCAGGATAAACTGAGCCCCTTTAACTAAAAGGACAGTTTATGCCTAGTCTTATAACTAAAAGAT